TGGTGTTATCGACCTCCTCCAGAATCTCGTTCGGCTCGGCCAAGAAGACCTTAATCTTGGCCTTCCTGATGCCGTACCGGACCTTGTGGTCGTTTGCCTCCAGCTGGGGCAGACAATGCTGGTTAATCAGCAGGAGGAAAGGCTGGCTCGCCTTCATTACCTGCTCTGCCCTGAGGATGGTCCAGTCCTCTGTATGTATATCTGGGTTCTGGGCCTTCAGACAGGCAATCAACCTTGCATGGTCAGTTTGGCCCTTAGGTAACCAGATGCGAGCTCTGGGTCTCCTTGGGATCTCCCTGGCGTGGACTAGCCTAATCTTAAGGCCAGCCAATGTGTCGCTAATCTTAGCCACACACTCCGCCAGGAAGCTTCGGGAGAACCCGTCGTCGCACCTGATGACCCGGTGCCCTCTGACCACGTCTGAGGAGTCGACGGAGGGGATGGGGCCGGTCGGCATGCTGACCAACCTGTCGGTCACCATGTCGGCCAACTTGGCCTCGATCTCCTCCCACTTCTCCGACAGCAGGCGACCGTCGTCATGGAGCTCGTCCACCAGTGCCATAGCCAGACTGTCTCTGGCCTCCACCTCGCTAAACTTCTTTGCCTGGCTGACAAAGTTCGTCGCACGCGGCTTACCCTGTGGGTCCTTCGCTCTCTTAGGTGCGCTTTCGCTCACTTCCTGTGAGCGAATTCGCTTTGCCTTCGAGGGCTGGAACGCCGCCGGGTTTGCCGCTTTATACTGCTCATATTCCGCGATCTCCGCAAGGAATTTGGCCTTGTCCTCGGCAACCCGAGGTTCAGTTTTGCCCTCAGCCTCATTCTTGGCTATCTTGCCGAGAACGAAGCGGGCTCTGTTGACCCTCGCTCGTCTCTGATGGTGAGACATTTTCGCTATCTCTGAGGTGGTGCTCAGCTGAGCACCTTTGATAGATAGCTTCACACAGAGGAATTCAACATCGTTGCATTCCTCGAAGGTTAATAATTCTGACGTGAGTGAGGAGTCCACCACTATAAGAACTCCACCCCCGCGTCTGATAGGGCGATCTAGCCGATATACCGTTAACACAGCTGGAAAAACTTCGGAGCTCAGCATCTCCGGCTTTAACCAGGTTTCTGTGAGCACAATAACCTGTTATAGGTTTGCCAATTCTGAATTCAAAATATGTGAGCTTATTGTGCGTTTTTTTTGCGGTTTTTTGCGTAATTTGAATTATTAGGAAGCAACATCTTGATCAGCAATGCAGAACTGCTAGTAGTGTGGCGTAAGCAAGGGAGGTTCAATTCGTCCTGAAATATATTGTGAAACAATCAAACTCCGCGAAACAAAAGGTTTTGTTAACCGTTAAAAGTGATATCGACGTAAGGGAAGACGACAATACATATTTTTTTATAATAATAATGAAATTGATGGCAATGATGAAGTTGAAAATGAATACCTAGAATAATAAAAAATAGTTATTTTTCTTCTTGAATACCTTTTATATTTGTTATCCGATCTGGATAAAATTTGCGGGACACATTTTAAATAGGACATCATCGTGTGTTCCAAAATTGGGGTCCCTAACTTGAAAACTGCTTTAAATATTAATTTTTTTCGATTTCTGTTGGGCGGAGGGGGGCGTTGACATTCCCACTTTTCTAAAATACGTTCCAATATATATATGCCAATATGGACGCTATATAGGCTTACTAGGGGAAAATAAAGGAATATTTGTTGAAAATTACATTTGTTTTTAAAAGTCAGATTTCGAGAAAACCAAATAACAGTGTATGGTGCATTTGGGCTAATAATTAGAGCGGAAACTATTAAAATATAACCAGACGTAAGCCTGCAGAGAGCGGTTTTCTAAACCAGACCAATGAGCAATATTAAGAAAATACTTCATTTAAAGACAATAAGAAATGTATTTAATGAAACAACTCAGTCGGACTTTGCTTTATGCGGTGAGCGATTCTGGATAGAAAACTATATAGAACAGGCCTTATGCATGGTCCCCAGTTCAGCAAAGCGGCAAGCGCGGCATTCAGGCACCTAAATCGAACTGCTCCGTTCAAAGTTGAGTTCGGTGCTGAGGTATTTTTCTTTTGGGATAATTTTTTAAACGACGATAAAGAAAATCCCCGCAAATATTTTACATTTTGCTTTTCAAACTACGTAGAATTCCTCTCAATGAAAATCCGAAAATGTCTAGATAGTAATAACCTATAAATATGAACTTAATATTATATTTTCGAGAATTTGTGTACTTTTTATGTACTATAACTATCTATTTATATTATTTAACCACAGTTAATGATTCATTTTAATTTTGTTTGTCCATCTTTAAATGAAACAAAATTAAAAAAAAAAAAAACATTAAATTAACAAATTAGCAATAGATTAAAAAAAGGTTTGACTCGCTCGGGATTTGAACTAGCGCTAGCCTATTTGGAAGGCGGATGTTCTAACCACAGAGCCACGCGCCACGATCGCCTCGCGACGCAAAGACAAATATCAAGCGAGCAAAAAAATAAATCTCCTAACCCTAAAGGGGTTGCAAGTGTTTGTCCCTCTCACACGCGTTATGCGCATGTGTGTATATCACCGACCCAATTTAAGTTGTCTACGTGGCGCGATGTGTAAGCGGCCTGACTGTTAAACATTAAGACGTAGGTTCAATCCCCAGTTGGTCATATAATATTGTAAAAAAGTTTTTGAGTATGGTTCAAAATGATTTAGTACAATTTTAATGTAACAAATAAAAAAAATCAGCTTGTGAAAAAAGTCGAAGCTTTTTTTCAAATTTTTTTTATGGTTAGAATTTTTTCCTCCATTTTATCCATACCGCTCATGAAGAATTTGATCATAAGCACCATGAATTACCCCACTGAGCGTTCAGGGTGAATTTGGTCATGAGTGGAACAGCGACGTCGACATCATGAATTAAACCGGCCACGCATAAATAAAAGCGAATGAGAACTTTACATAAACGGTGGGTCCTACCCACTGAACGGGTAAGCATGAAAGTCGGCAGGAGTTTGGCTAAAAGGTCCAACTGGGAATCAGTAAACTGACTGGCCCATATATGACATCGCCATTCGAAGAAATTTGGTATAAATTAGCTAATCCGTTAAATGAAGTGTCCTTATATTCAGGGTATAGCAAACGATAGAGAAAAATATTTTCTAATTCCGACGCGAATTTGTTCGAATTGATGCATTATTTAAGAACTTAATTTAAAATAAGAAATCTCCCCGTGTAGCATTTTCCCATCGTTCCATTTTGACGCTAACTCACCGACGCTAATTTTACTTACAAATAAACTCTCAATCGTATAAAAGTCGGAATGGGCCGAATTTGTCAAATATGTATATCATTGAGCTATCATAGGAACGATGGGTCAATTTATAAAAAATTTATAACTTTGCTAGTTTTCATTATATTCGAATCATTGTAGAATTTCCACTTTAATTTAATGAGACTATAAAATACAGCTGACATAGAAACTTTCTGTTAATACGGAGGATAACATATATATATATATATTTATATATATAATTTAAAGTGTATTAAAGCGGTAGACCACCCTGAAGGTCCGACAATTGGAGGGTTTTTCATAAATTAATTTTGACATAGTTATTAAGAATACACCTTTTTATTTTAAGTACATCAAAGTTCATATGTTAATATATATAATATAATTAAAAAAAAAATACTTATTGAAAGAAAAAAAATATTTACGAATGGCGGAGATATAGCCAGTCAAAAAAGGAATTTTTTTAGGGAATGATCAGATGGTGTACATGCTGCACACCACATTTGTTATCCGAAATTAAAAAACAAAAATTTTTTATAAACTGTATAAGTATGGCTATAGCAAAACGTGCCGTTTTTGGAAAAAAAAATTTATAAATTTAAAACAAAAAATCATATCGAAAAAAATTCTACGTCATGCCATAGAAGACGTATAGAGAAGCTGTGTAAAAAATTTGGAGAGAATCGGTCAAGCAGTTTTTGAGGCATCATGTACACCGTTTTAAAAAACGTAGTTTTGAGAAAAACGCAAAAGAAGATAAAGAATATACTCTAAGGTATACTGGCAGCTGTAGAATTTACAAGATATGAGATATCTTTAAGCCCGATATCTTAAAATGACCGTAAGAATGTCGTCAAGTAAAAATAAAAAATCCGATTTTTTAAAAATGTCAGGGTGGTCTACTCCCTTAAACATTAATTCGGCACGGCAGTTCAGATTGCAATTCTATCATTAATATTTAATCTTTCATTCAGATTTTTAAACTGAGGGACTAGTTTGGGTGGAAACGGACAGACGAACATTGCTAGATCGGCTCAGCTTCAGATTCTTATCAAGAATATACATATATACCTCATCTGGTCGGAGATAGCTCCTTCAATAAGTTGGTAACTTCTGACTGAAATTTTAATACCCTGCCAGATTTAAAATGAAGAATGCAAACCAAAAGAAAAAAATAGATTATTAGTCATGAAATCAGAGGGAAGACAGACGATAACGATAGGTTTCTGCCTATTATTTTTAAGAAGGCGTTATGTATCATGAGCGTTCAGAAGAACACACTTTGTCGCTTGGTTAGTGATTGATTACTGATGATTATGTGTTTCTGCTGAAAGAAGTAATTGATGTTTCTCTATCCCTCGCCACAGCTCGTCATTCAGCAGTTATCGGATGATGGATGGTGCTCTGTGGGAATCGACGTTTCACATCTGCCAAACATCTAAACATATGGACAGTGTAGGAAGGGTGTATAAATAATTAAAGTCAATTATTTTGTTAATTCCAATACAGATATTTTTAAATTGCAACTATTATATTTATAATTGCACTTATTGTACTTTTTTATTTCTTTCCTCTTCTTCAAGTCAAACGTTCTGATATATTTTTGCCTCTATCTTGCTGTTTCCCATCAAACCTATTTAATGTTCCTTTTGTAGTTGTTTCAAGTCGAACATATTTTGTAGGTTGGCAATTCGGAATTTTTTGTTTACCGAACCTGGCCCTACCAATTAAATGACTAGTTTACACGTCAATTTAATAAAAGAACTACATACTAAGAAATAAAACACCAATTGAAGAAATGGGTCTCACCATATCAAGCCTTCTTACGCGTCTTTTTGGGAAGAAACAAATGCGAATACTTATGGGTAACGTTCCTAGCTATGCTTGATGTTATCTGAGCAAAATACTTCTATATACATATGTATATTGCATTTTTTATTGTTTGCAAATTCTGAATACTAATCTTGTAAAATATTTTGTATCATTCTTTATAGTTGGCTTGGATGCTGCTGGAAAAACAACAATACTCTACAAACTAAAGCTCGGAGAGATTGTCACAACCATTCCAACTATTGGCTTTAATGTGGAAACTGTGGAATATAAAAATATATGTTTCACCGTTTGGGACGTTGGCGGCCAAGATAAAATCCGGCCATTGTGGCGTCATTATTTCCAAAATACTCAAGGCTTAATATTTGTTGTTGACTCAAACGATCGCGATCGAATTAATGAAGCCGAAAAGGAATTACAAAATATGGTATTAGTTGTTTGCTTTCTTAGATAAATATGTATAATAATCTAATTTATTGTCTTATCCTTAGCTTCAAGAGGATGAGCTCCGGGATGCTGTGCTCTTGGTTTTTGCCAATAAACAGGACCTTCCCAACGCAATGACGGCTGCAGAGTTAACGGATAAATTACGTCTTAATCAATTGAGGAATCGCCACGTATGTTTTGTATTGTTACTTTAATCAAAACTGTAATTATCTTTCCTTTTTAAGTGGTTTATTCAAGCTACTTGCGCTACACAGGGTCACGGACTTTATGAGGGACTTGATTGGCTCTCCGCTGAATTGGCTAAGAAATAATACTACAAAATATATATTTTAATTGTACAATAAGAGCATTCGCATTCTTCGCTGTAACAAATATAAATGTTGAAGATCCTTCAATAAACTTGTATGTATATGTCGGACATTGCTATTTATATACACTTGCAACATAGTGGCGGCATTTACGGACCTATAAGGTATACATATGTATATATTCGAGATCAGCATCAACTGCCGATTCGAACTAGCCATGTCCGTCTGTTCGTGTCCACGCAAACTAGTCTACTTTTTGAAGCAATCTGAAGTCTTAGTCTTCTAAATATGCTTACTCATATATAAGTCGGATCGAACGACTACACTAGACTAAATAAATCTGTTAATTTTTAATAAATAATCTAGATGACTTAGGAAAGTGCTTACATTGATGGAATCTTTTATTAAAAATAAATATAAGTTAATGTTAGTTCTTATGCATTTTTATAAAACGATATACATATATTATATGATTTTGATTTCTAGGGGGTCAAAAAAATGCTTATGAACATATGATTTTTGGATTTTTTTTTGGATTGGATCAAAATAAGAAACTTTGCTCAAGAAACCTCTATATAATACTAACGGCGATGGCCGTAGTAGCACTTATGAGCATTAGATCTTTATTGGAGTACCTTGAAAACAGAACTGAAATTAAGGAATGGTCTTATATCTAAAATAAGCTCACAGCAGCCACACAAATATGCTGTGTTTGCCGTCTGTGCATGAGCGTCCGGCCCATTGCTAGGTCAGCAGTTTGGCCGACACAATGGTATTTACTCTGGTAAACCACAGTTAACTACTCCCCCTTCTAAGTCAAGGCCGAGATGCGTTTGGTTGTTGTCGATTTCTACTCTAAACTCCTTGATGAACTCCAAGTTCCGTTCACTCAAGCGGTGAAGGTATGGGAGGCTGAGGACATCCTGGTTGGCGGTGATGTGCAACAGAGGGAAGCTGGAACTGAGAAGTTCTTAGTGGTGTGAATTTCTCCATTGCATTTCACTACGAAGTTGTCTTTTATCTGCGAAATTGTCTCACAATGGGCGACTGCGAAAACTTATTCTTTGACATGCTTTTAACATGATTTTAAATCTTCATGATCTAAAATATTCGGACAAAAATATAAATTTTGGCAAGGGTTATTGCAAGCATTACATTTTGTAATTCTGTCATCAGCATTCTGTTTCCAGCAAGTAATGTCTCATATAAATGTCCAGTATCTACTTGTGAGTTTTTGGCCGATCTAAAAATTAAATTGACAGTCAGTCTAAGTCACCAGCTTCCGGTGTCCCTGCTACGATCTTTAGCATTGGTCCTAAGAAATCTAAACTCATAGCTACTCTGTGATGTACGCCCAACGACTCTATATAACATATCGCCTTATTTGCTGTGTTTGCTTGTTTTGCTGTGTGTGTGATGAATGCGAACTCCTCCCATACTAGGATTTCACCACGATGGGGATATACTTGGCCAGTGAATAATCAGTAATGTGAGCCGAAGTCAAGGATAGGAACAGACAAAGTATGGGTCCAAACCTGTGAGATTAAACTGTAGCAATTTTTTGCTTATAGAGAAATGCAACGAGCCACCGCACCTACAAGTGCACCCGCAAAACACTGGGTAACTGAGACACCCAGGTGTTTATGGTACCCTTTTTGCGGTGGTAAAAAACAACCGAGTGTATTTGGCACCCGGGAGTTTTTTGGTACTGACTAAAAGGGTGCGAGCGAGTGTTGTGGCACAATGTTTCGAGTCACCTACACACAAGCGAAGATCGATCGCAGCTATTTTTTTGTATGGATACATTTCGCATGGGTGCGAGCAAGACGGTCTAAGAAAAATAGGGTGAAAAGAAACCCAAAAAAAGGTCGTGTGCGTGTTTTTGTTTTTGATTGTTTGACGAATAAGTTCGGCTATAGATACATGTATGCAGTTCATAACTGTACTCTTTCAAGAATTGTCTGAGTCCAATCGCCCACAAGAGTTCGAGAAAAAACAAACAGGCGATGACGTCATAAATACCTAGGTGTCTACGAGACACTATTTGTGTGTTTTTCCCACAACCCTTTTTTGCCTAGGTGTTTTTCGTACCGCCTGCCTGCTCTACTCATTCGTTTTGATTCCATGGTGATCGGCGCCCGCCGAATAAAAGAACCGCATTGATCGGGTGCCGATGTGCCGGGTGCTTGCATACAACCGATTTTGTGCGGGTGTTTGCATGTTACTTTAGTGGCCGGTGGTGAGTGGCACTGGAACCCGAAATTTGTTGAGTGTGAGTCGGGTGTCAAAAAATGCCACCCTTGCAGTTCTCTGGTTCCCACCACCAATGAAATAAACTTAAAACAAACTATGCCACTGCCAATGAACCTTATAGTTAGTAAGAAATTGCGCAAAGTGGCTTAAAGGTGTGATAAAAATTGAACTAAAATTGTCCTTTTGAACCATCCTCCCCTTAATGAGGACCGCTGTCCCCAGGTCCGTTTATACGGCTCTCTCTTCACACAAGGGTGTGAGTTTATTTCCTTGTCACCAACCTCGAAGACCCTATTCTGCCGAGACGCATTTTCCTTCTTTCTTTGCGTATTCTGGGGGCTTTTTTTTTCGTATTTCTATTTGTAAGTCATCCGTGTACGACTGCACAACATCAGATGGTCTTTTGTTACAGACCGAGTGAATTGACTTTTTGTACTTGGTAGTTGCTGTAAAATTAACTCTACATTGTTGGTTGGTCCTTTTTCGATTTTAATGCACCTAGCGAGTTCCAGCAGGGTGCTGTGAAGTCGTTCCACCTGACCGTTCGATACATTGTGTAAGGGTGGTGCATTTGGGATACTAACTCCAAAGTGGTAAGTCAGCATTGCCGAAATCGTATGCGAATTTAATGACGGTTCATTGTCACAGTAGATCGTTTTGGCTCTTGAAAAGCAGTTCATTAACTGCAACATTGCCGGTTTGAGGTCCTCAATCGTTCTAGAGGGAATATGTTGCACGGCTGTGAACTTTAAGAACTTATCGATGCATGTCAGGAAATATTTCCTATCTGTTGAGAAGATATCTATGTGTAACATCTCCCCGGCATAGGAGGGGATCGGCGACTCGCCGATTTCCAGTTTCCTTGGATGCCTATCATATTTGACCCTCGCGTAGGTATTGCAGGTTTGAACGATTTCGTTAGCTAGTTTCGCCATTTTGGGAAAATTATATATGGAGAGTACTTGCTTGACATTTTCCTGTGCCGATCTGAGTGGCCAATTGTGCTCGGCAGTCATGATCTTGCGTCTCTCCGCGCAATTTTTCCAATGCCAAAATTTTTGGAAATAGGCGAACCAGTTCGTACTGTATAATTGCGGGTTTATGAAGTAATGACTCTTTGCAGGAAATGTTTACCGCGTGTCATTTCTTGTTTTCAAAGAGTACGAAACTGCGTTTTAACGGAAAGCGTCCCTCCTCCAGAGTTATTTGATACTGAAAACAGTTCAATGGCTTGTCCGTTGTTTCGATCGTGTGGGTCAGGGAAAGTTCGCTGTGTGGCAGCGCTCTTGTTCCCCCATGACATTTAGTTGTTGCCGAGAAAGTGCATCGGCAACAAGATTTTCTTTACCGGGTTTGTAATAAACACGCGTACCAGACTGGTCAATGCGAGCTTTCCACCTTTTGATTTTTTCTTTTGGATTGGATTTCGATACCGCAAAAGTTAACGGCTGGTGGTCGGTGAAGATATTTATTTTGTGGTAATTTGACCACAGCCCATACAATGGCTAATAACTCTATCTCATTTGTGGCGTAGTTGATTTCTCTGTCTTTTAACGTTCTTGAAATTATTGTAATGGGGCGTCCTTCTTGGCATAGGACTGCACCAATACCATGGGCAGAGGGGACCGTCGTTAGATCAAACGCCATTTTGTAATCAGGGTTATCAAATGCCAATATGTTTCGTAGTTTCTAAAAAGCTTGTTGCTTCGTTTTAGACGAGTGTAACAGAATGTTTCGTGACCTATGCCTACCAACACTTCCGTTTCCGCCTTTTAAGATGTCTGAAATGGGTCTAGCTATTGCTGCAAAATCCTTAATAGCCTATCCGTTATAGCTCGCCAGGCCGAGGAATGATCTGACTTTAAAAACGGATTTTGGTTCCGGGAAGTCTTGAATGGCTTTTACCTTCTCTGGGTCGGTTCTTACACCGCTACTGGTGACTATGAATCCCAAAAAACTTCCACTCTTTTTAAAAAAGCTCGATTTCACTGACACCCACATGTTGGCTTTGTAAAGATTCTTAACCACCCAAACTAAGTAAGAGACATTAATTCTAAGCTTTCCGAAAAAATAATCACATCATCCACATATTCGATTTGTTTCCGAAAAATTTCATCGACTGTCCTCTGAAATATGCTGGCTGCATTTTTCAAACCAAAAGGGAGTCTTTGAAATTCATACTTCCCTCCGTTTACCGAAAAGGAAGTCTTTTTACGATCCGCAAGCATGGTAACCTGACTAAAAGTCCAATGTCGTGAAATACCTGGACTTGCCAAAGTTTCCCAATATTATAGATATTCGGCATGGGATACTTATTAGAAACCGTTCTTTCATTAAGTTTGCGAAAGTCGATTACTAGTCACATGTTCTTGTTACCCATTTCATCAGCGCCCTTCTTGTCTACTATCCATTTTGGATTCTTGTACGGAGACACAGATTTTGTAATTATGCCATTATTTTAAAGATTTCGAATTTCTTTGTTAACAAAATCGCCCGCCCCATTGGGCTCTTCATTCTCTGTTCTAATAGTGGTATAATTTTTTATACCCTTGCAGGGTATTATAATTTCAGTCAGAAGTTTGCAACGCAGTGAAGGAGGCACCTCAGACCATAAAAGATATATATTTTCTTGATCAGAATCAACAGCCGAGTCGATCTAGCCATGTCCGTCTGTCCGTTTCTACGCAAACTAGTCTCTCAGTTTTGAAGCAATCTGAATGACACTTTGTAGTTAGCCTTCTATATACTCTCACTCGTATATATGTCGGAACGGGCCAGATCGGACGACTATATCATATAGCTGCCATAGGAAAGATCGGAAAATTTTCACAAAAAAATTTATTCATATCGGACTTTT